CTCCCCTCCACTGAGGGACTGACTGGAACAAACAATGAAGGAGGGAAAATTAAGCCCTTCCCACCTGTGTGCTGGCTTCTGGAGCTGGGCCAGAGGTCTTCTGTCCTGAGCACCTTTGTCCTCAGCATACTGACCAGGCTTAGTTATAAAAGCACTTCTGTGTCTTTTGCCTGCAACCTCAGCTCATGGGACTTTGGGACATCTCATAGTCATAATATGAGTGCCAATTCCTTATAAATGTAAATATAAATATGCATATTTTAGATCAACTTCCTTGGATAATTAGGACCAATACTATCATAAAGCAGAGGGTTTGCAAATTTTCCCATCAGATCTAACTGAAGTGTTAACTTGAAAGAGCACTGGGTACAAGGTTAACAAAAGGTAAGAATGGAAAGGACTCTTCGGCAAGGCAGACATGTCTTGACAGAGCCAAGAAAGGAAACTGGTCCTGGGATTTTTCTTTTTTGAATTGGCTTGGGAGGGGAATTGTTCTGACTGTGACTTGTGTAGTTTCAGTCTCCCAATGACATCTAAGGGGAGAGCACACTTCCTTATCAGATTTCCCATGAAGGGGTTGATGGAGAAGAGACAGGAATGACCCATCAGTTGTCAGTAGTGAAACATGAAAGAAAATAGAGTCTGACTACCAATTCCACCTAATGAGTATAAAAAAATGAACAGAGATGAGGTAAAGAGTAACTATGTATAGAAAATGAAAAGTATAAGTAAGCAATGACGATGAAGATAAGAAAGATGATGATGGTGCTGGGCTGAGACAAGGATATTGGTCCCATGAAATTTAAGCTCCTCCTACAGACACAAGATCACCAGGAATCCTCCAGGCAGAGATGCCCTCTCTTCCTTGTAACTGGTGAGAGATTTCATGAAAGGAGCCCCAATGATTTATTCAGCTTCTGTCTATAATGTAACCAAGTCAGTAAAAATACCAAAAAGTTTCCATGTCCGATTGTCTGGACCTGTAACATTATTACCTTATTTAATAGACACACCTTGAGAATGTGTATGTGGGTTACAAGGAATCCTCTTTCCACCCATGTGCAAAGACATGTTTCTTATTTCTCTTGATTTCTGCCTGCAGCTTCTAAAGTTCCTCTTTCTAACCAACCTGAGTTTAAAATGGCTTAAGTATTCTATAAGATGATATAGTCTGTCTCTAGTATGTCCTGTATTCTCTGCTGTGCCTTTGCTTTAAAACTCTTTAAACCCATATATCTAGTTTCAGTCAGTTCATTAAAAAAGAACATATTCCTGTATGTCACTCAAACCAAGTCCAGCATCCTCTCCTTACCCAGTTCCAAAGTCCTTTCCAGATTTTTTGGGAAATCTTCCAGCACCAACTCCCCTCCTGGTACTAGAACCTGGTCTTGACCCTAAGGCTGCTATAAAAAATGAACAAAGATGATGTGCCCTGGCCTATTTCTAGAGATTTTTTTTTGAGAAACCCACCACATAAAACATTAAAATAGTGACGAATTGACTTTTATTACAATTACAAAAATATTTCCCACCAAACCACCAGGATTCTACTAAGGGAATTAAATGGCAATCCCAGACAGAGAATATGTTTCCAAATCTTGTCTGATGAAGGAGTTTATTATACTTTAAGAATGTTATATGTCATTTGGGAGAGACCATCACCCTGTGACTACTGTGACCATCCCCAGAAACAGGGCAAAGGGAGGCTGAGAGAGAGGGATTCCTGTCAGGGCTGAAACTCTCTTTCCTGTGAGAAAATCTGTGCTAGGAATTCTTTTCATTTCTCTCCCTCTGAACCCCAATCTCTCTGACCATACTAGACAGAGAAAACAAGTAAATTAATCCACTTACGTAGTCATTTCAACACTTGAAGAATTCTAGTTATACACATACATGATCACTATGTTCATTTATCACCTTTTCTACATGTAAAACCATGGTTATGTACTATAAGATCAGTTTGGAGTCTCTGCAATGTTCCCTGGGGTCTCAGAAGAGAAAACTTCACACATAGAGCTGTAGACAGAACTTAAAAATGTCCAATATCATATATCAACAATGTTCCAGCTTTCTGTACTAAGGATGTAGTTATTCAGATGAAAATGATATCATAAATTCATAAAATAGGACACTGAAAATAACTCTGCATAAAGTATTGTTTAGTTTGGACCACAAAAATAGACATTTTAATATTTAAATTATGACGTAAAGTTTGGTAATTTTTGATATACCAGAGTTTTGCATGTGAGGAACTGTCTGGGTAAGTGTTGATAAACATTTTTAATCTGTCTGAAAAGTGCATGAGGATTTGAAAGTGTCGCCAAAAAATCTAGTGCAACATATCTTCTTATGCTCAGTAGGGAAAGGCAATCCTTTCAACTAATTCCAATATCTCATAATCAGCCGTCCACTCTCCTAGACTTACCCGTTCATTGAGTTCAAGACAATGGATGCTTCCAGAGATGTCCCAGATTGACCAGTGTACTTGACCTCGGTCCCTCCTTACCTATATAAACAGTCCCCTGTAAGCAAATTGCTCTTCCAGCTCCAAAGCACGTCTTCCCTTGGGCTGTTGGGGCCCCCAGCTCTCTCCCTACATGGGGCTGAGGTCTCTGGAGAAGGCAGAGTTGTGCTCTGGACGATGATAAGGCTCTTGTGTCTTCTCCTAAGCCTGGTGATTGACCTTGAGGGTTAGTGCCTCAGATGTCAGGCACAGACTTATGGGATAGCGGTGAAGGAACATGGCTGACAGGGACTGATGCACCTTTTCCCCAGGTGTCTTGTCTCAGGTGCAGCTGAAAGAGTCGGTCCAAAGACAGGTGATGCCTTCAAGACCCTCTCCCTCATCGACACTGTCTATGAATTTTTTAACAGGTTCTTAAGTGCACTGGACCCAACAGGATCCAAGGAAGGGTCTGGAGTGGGTAGGTGCCATAAGAGGTGCTGGAAACACAAACTCTAACCAACACTCAAACCCTGACTCATCAGCTCCAATGGGCATGCTTATTTTACACTTCACAGCCTGAGTCCTGATTACACAGTAATTATATATATATATATATATATATGAGAGAGGCACCATGAGAGGAAGGTCAGTGTGAGCTCAGAAACAATCTTTCCTGTGGGAGACAGGGGGCCTGGGCTCTAGGAGGCAGAGGACACCAGGTGATCTTGCATACAATCTTTCTCCATCTTCCTTTTGGAATATAACCAATTGCAAGTAGTCTTTTCTGTGGGAACGTTCTGGACATGTATTTAATATAGGAAAAAAATTATTTGCCTCACCAAATTACTCTGCACATATACTAAGGAAGATATTTGTTTGACACAGGTCCCAAGCGTGATAATACATTATAATCACAAAATCAACAGAGAGTATAAATATGCACAAATTGAAATGATGTGGTGGCAAGCTTAACCAACACATGCTTGATAAATACAGCACAGACCCAAGGACCTGTAGAAATAAGGACTTTCTCAGTACTTTTAACTGGGAGCCACATATGGCATTCCACAGACAGCAAAAACAAAAACAGAGGTTCTTGTCTGTCCCTGAATCTGAGTGAAAATTCAGTGCCTGCTGGGCTGTTGAAGTTGAGGACGTGGAGTCAACATGTGGGACTTCACCACACCTCCTCCATGCTCGACCCTAGAGAAGACCATATTTGGAAGGAATGCTGAGAAATGACCAGAAGTGGCTGTGTTCTCATGATGATGACATTGTCAGTGCAGAAATGTCCATGAGGGTTGAACCTGAGGCCCAGGTGCAAGAGGAGGTGGTGGTTAATGGAGCAACTAACAAGTGCAGCTGTTGGTCATGGACCAGCAAGTCTGTCTCTATCTAGGATTCTGTGGTAAGGTCCATAAGGCAGATGGTAGAAAGAATAATCATCAGGATGGGACATCCAGCAAGAATAAAAATCCAGTGTGCCCCTCAAAGAACTGACGCCACTCACCTAACAAGAAACACCGAGGCCTAAAATCCATGCTGGGGGCCTGACCATATGGAAGGAAAAGGGGATAAGGGAGATGTGATGTTCATTAATTTGAATATCCGCACTGTGTTTTTGTGCATGTGATACATTAAGGAGTAGGTGTGCTGTGAAATTAGGACCACATGCAAGGATCCTCTGATGGGAAATTCAAGTAGAGGAACTGGAGCACATGAGAGGCCCCCAAAGCTCCTGAGAGCTTCTGGCCTCAGATTTGGTGTCTCTATCAGTGATCTGAAAGCTCCAGGGAAGGGGATGCCTGGTGACTGATAGAGCCCTGGTTACTGGGCTTCATGCAGTGTTTCTGGGGATTATGGCACCCAGTTACCTGTGTCCAGTGATGTAGAAGCAGTTTGTGTCCCTGAAGAAGTATCCTAAAGTCGGTATTCAGCCATGACAAGTCCAAGGCCTGTGAGCCCACACAGGATCCCCCATTGCAGGGAACTGTCTAGGCAGCAGGAAACACTTGGAAACCACAGATCCAGGGACACTGCCCTAGTAGGAGTTGCAGAGGAAGCTACTGCAGGATCTTCTTTGAGGGCCTGGGTGTGCTTCTCCTCAAAAACCTCTCACTAAAATTTGACATAAGGTGTCTGTAAATATTGTTCTCCCTCAGAGAATTTACCAGAATCAAAAACACATGAGAACTATAGTCAATGGTGGTATTTCCATGGATTCTTTATATCTGAACTGTAGAGAGCTGGGGAAAGGCATGATTTTATCAACACACTAGGGGCAGACATTTGGAGACAAACTGGTCCAGCAATAGGACATACAGGTATCAGAGCCAGACAAGTCCAGATTTTCTCTGTGTTAATCAAAGGAGGGTTCACAATGAGGAGCATGTCTTGTGGGGGCTTGTTCCTCCGTGGGAGGATCTATGTCTGCATAAATCTCAGGGACATGGCAGGGGACTTATAACATTAATGTATACCTGAACCCCGATTTTCCCACTAAGCATGGTCTTTGTGTCCTCTATATTCTCCCAAGTGGAGTCAAATTATCACCTATGAAGTGTTCTGCTTCATGGCTATGCAAATTAAGAGTGATAGACTAGGTTAAATATGGGCCTGGCTGTACCCTGAAACATCACCCACAGGCACATCTACAGAAGTCCTCAAGGCCCATCTGCTCACAATGGACTGGAGCTGGAGAGCCCTCTTCCTGGTGGCAATGGCTACAGGTAATGGGGTCCCCAGTCCCAGAGTTGGGGAGGAAACCAGGGGAAGTCAACAGACATTTCAATCCACTCCTCTCTCTTTTACACAGGTGTCTACTCCCAGGTGCAACTGGAGCAGTCTGGGTCTGAGGTGAGGAGACCTGGTTCTTCAGTGAAGGTCTCCTGCAAGGCCTCTGGATACACCTTCACCAGCAACTGGATGAGCTTTGTGCAACAGGCCCCAGGGCAAGCCCTTGAGTGGATAGGGAAGGTTTATCCTGGTGATGGTGATACAAGGTATGCACGGAAGTTCCAGGGAAGAGCCACAATTACTTCAGACAAATCCACAAACACAGCCTACATGGAACTGAAGAGCTTGAGTACTGAAGACACAGCCATGTATTACTGTGCAAGACACACAGTGAGGAGATGTCAGTGTGAGCCCAGGCAAAAACCTCTTTGGGGGAGACAGGAGGGTTGGGTTGCAGGGGGCGCTCAGGTCCCACCAACCACAGAGAACAAACACAGGAACAGATGTGGGCCCTGTGAGGAAGAAAGGGGCATCCCCTTGGGAGCAGGGATTTCCTCTCAGTGCTCTTAGCTGCATGCAGTGATGCATCTTGCTTCTTTGTGCCTCTGATTTCACACGTTCTCAGGGCAGACAGCAAAGGAACAAGTGATGTGCCTGGGGACATTTCCTTCACCACACTTCTGTTTGCCCTTTTCCTTCTTTGGCAATGAATCTCCCTGAGTGCTCTCATCTTCCCCCTTCTTGGAAAAGTCTCCAACTAAAATGGATACTACCCTGTCAAGGACCATGTCTGCTGAGATCAGTTACTCTGTCCCCATAATATACACAACATCTTCACACATCCCCTTCCTACAGACAAGTACACCTTGAACTGCAGTCATTGTGATCATCTCCTAGGAACTCCACCTGTCAGGCCACACATCACCCTCTTGTTCCGCATTTACTGGGTGGATGTGGAAACACTCCCCAACATAATTCGCTGTCACCTACCGACCTAATTATCCCTAAGTCTAACCTTTACCCTTCTAACTTTTCCCTGCTCCCCTCACATGACCTGTCACAGCAAGAAGTTAAATAAGAATGCGTACAGTCACGTGTACCAATAAAGTCCCTCAAATGTGTCTGTCCATCAAAGGCTCCCCCGAACTTTGCATTTGTGGGAATTTTTGGCTCCTAAATTGCATAGGACATGTCTGTGTGGCATAGAGAAAACACATAATTTTAAAAAGGACCCATGGACATGGGCAACAAGGATGTGACTGCTGGAAAGATGATGGCATAGGTGCTTTAATGGTAATGAGGAAATGTGGTAATTGAATATAATAATTTAAAAAATAAAATAAAATGCTAATGCATACAACATTTTTATTTTTATTAATTTCATATTTCATGGAAAGTTATTATTTTATTGGAAACACTTTAGATAACAAAGGAAACTGGTTGTCCAGCCCCACAAACCTGCTGTGAGGATGGTGCCTGTAACTCATGTGGCTCATTCTGCATACTTTGTGCCTTTCTATGAAAGGTGCTGGAGAGGTTGACAGGAATGACCATGCATGGGTCATTCCCCATGCCAAAACCTGGGTACATTTTGACATACTTTTGTATAGAGTGGGAACTCATAAGACAGCCTTTTACATTTCTTAGGTGGTCTTCATAGAACTCACTGCTGATCCTGCAGGCTGCACTGGTATTTGATTTAAAGACTGGGTGGGGGCTCTCTGTATCATAGCATAGACATGGGTCTGATTGCATAGGAATCAGCCACTGTATGAGAAACTACGTGTTCAAACCTTCAGGAACACTTTACAAGTTGGATTTCATAGGCTAGGTCATCCAAATTCTTCATACCTTTCAGGCCCACCATAGCATATGTGAACACTTTGGGAACATAAGCGTTTCTGGATTTCAATGGTGATGATGGTTGCAAAGCCATATGAATGCACTTAATGTCACTGTGTCCATTTAAAATTAATTAACACAGTGAATGTTAGTTACTGTATGTTATACCATAAGTGCCACACCAGCACTAATGAGAGGTCTGCATGTGTTTTTTTCAGGAAAGGTGGTGCCTCCTGACACTGCAAAGCTGAAATGGAGTGAGGGCTGCAGGCAAGGGCTGGTATGGAAGGTTCTGAGGAGCTTGTCTTTGTGGAAGGACCTCTGAAAGGGTGTCACTGTCTCATAGATGTTATGAGGAGAACAGTATCTGGGAAGAGAAGAGGCCTGGATGAGGATTCTGGTTCACAATTGTCTCTGAGCTGAGAACAACGTGTGCATTGGATGTGTGGGCAAACACAGAATGTGAGTCATATCCTGAGAGTGTGCAGGTCATGACAAGGACCTGGTGTTTCTTTAAGGCAGATGTGATGTGGGTACTGTGTCATTACGGTTCCACTGTCTCTGACTCATGGAGTCAGTGGAATTATGAGTGAGGGCACACAAATACCCATAATGCTCAGCACACACAGGACAGTGCTGCAGAGATTGGACCATCACTCCCTGGGAGATGCTTTGTCACCATAAATTTTCAGTTTGAAACATCCCCCATGGAGTTAACCAATATTTCCATCCGCTCTCAGGTGCCATAGGAGTGAGGAATATGACAAGACCTTCAACAGGTTCCACTTATCTGGGTGTTGTTGTCTAAAGGACCGTGTGCCTAAAGTTCCTGAAAAACTGGGAAACAGAGATATCACGTAAACTGTGTCTCTGTACAGAATCACAGGGACAAGTGAGGTAAGGGAGGGCACATCCAGTCTGAGGGCTCTCTGTAGCAGGTGAAGGCACACATCCCTGGGCTGTCCAGGGCCATGTATGGGGCTCAGGTTCCTCCTCCACATTGGGTGAGGGGACTGGAGAGGGTTACAGAACACAGGTGTCCCCTGGGTCACATATATGTTTCTGTCTAGTGGTGTTCTCATTGTTTCTATCTCTCAGAAACCACCTTTATGCTGGTCACATGTGGCTGGTGCCAAGGGCTCCTCACAGGTGTCCCCAGCACCTGCAGGACAGTGGTGTCATCCCTGTCACAGATGTTACCTCTACCCCACGTGGTTGCACCAATCCCTCTTTCTCAGCTCTTCTGTTGACAAAGAAAGGGGTCTCTTGAAACATTGCTCATGTGTGGAAATCTCAAGTATAGTTCATTGATACCCTCCCTCGGTCAGATGTGCCCCAGGCCTTACCATGCACTATTAAGTAATGGGGAGAGCGGGGGGAATTTTCCATGTATAGAGGGTGTGTGAGGTTTTGAGAGGCACACCTGGTGTTAATTACTTACCAGGCTCTTGAATTCAATCACATATTTTACCTCAGTTGGGTGGCTTAATAAAATACAATGACTACATTTTGGTTTGCATCCATCTGTCTCCTTGGCCCATCATGAGCTCCTCATGCCCTTCCCAGGATATCAGCTTCCAGACACCCTTACCCAAGGGTCTCAGGTGAACACAGGAATGGCATGTTCCAAAATGACTGTTTATGACCTGGAAGCAAGTCCTGTCATCCCCACACATCTCAGAATTCATGTTGTCCCATAGCCAGTGCCTGTGTCTCTCTGGGAGAATGTAACTGCTGGGTTCCAATGTTCCAGGTGGTCTAGAAACTCAGGAGTCTTGAGGGGCTCATTTGCAGGTAGGGTCATGACTTCACTTCAAGAAGTGGCAAATCATATGAAAAGGACACAGTGTGTGTAACACCTGTCTCAGCTGCAGGCCTTGGACTGGACTCTTGGTAGCAGGTCCTAACCACTGTGGCCAGGTGTCTGGAGCTGGACTGAGACAGAGACTGCTCCTGCCCTTCCCCCCGCAGGGCTAGGGCCGCAACCAGGAGAAGAGAAAGACTGGTCTGTCCTTTGTGAGAATTTTTACATAAAATATTATTTTATGTGAAATTATGATTGTCCAATGTGGAAATGATGAGTCTACTTCATGTGTTTCCCGGTATTTGGGAAGATGTTTGAGCTTAAAGTTGGTCTATTTTAATATCCTCTTGAATTATCCATGAGATTAAAATAGTGTCATTCACTTAACTAGATCAGCATTAATATTAGGTAGAAAAATTAGGTGCCCTTTACCTATTTCCAAGACTTGTTATAACCTAACTGCTTTCCTATCAGTAACCAACATTAAGTCCAAAATAAGGAGTGCACTCAGTATATAGGAGGACATGCAGCAGGAACCTCCGTCTCTCCCCATATATGAAAACAGAGACCCCCACATGTAAATTTCTATTCCAGCTCCAGGGTAAAACGTTCCCTGGTCTGTGGGGGCTCACAGATCTCTCCTCACACAAGGCTGAGTCTCCATGGAAGGTAGAGCTGTGCTTTAGGAGAAGATGAGAGTACTGGGTTTATTCCTGTGCCAGGTGACAGCCCCTCATGGTGAGTGTCTCAGATGCCAGATATGCATGTATGGTGTGGTGATGACTACATGTCTAACCTGATAGATGCCCCTTGTCCCCAGGTATCCTGTCCCAACCGCAGCTGCTGGGATGGGGCCTAGGACTGGTGAAGCCATCACAGAGCCTCTCCCTCACCTGCACTGTCTCTGAATTCTCTTTAATGATCAATGGTGTGTATTGGACCCGCCAGGCTCCAGGGAAGGCACTAGAGCGGGTCACTGTTATAAATAGTGGTGGAAGCACAAACTACAACCCACCGCTGAAATCCCAACTCACCATCACCAGGGACACTTCCAAGAGCCAAGTATATTAAACACAACCAAAGACAAGGCTGTGTATTACTCTGCCAGACCCACAGTGAGGGGAAGTCAGTATGAGCCCAGACACAATCCTCCCTGTAGGAGACAGGAAGGTTTGGCTGCAGGGGCTTCTCAGGACACCAGTGAGCGCTCTAGTCTCACCAATCACAGAGAACAGTCCAGGAGGCAGGTGTGGGCCTGGTGGTGAAGGAGGGAACTTCCTCTTGTGAGCAGGGATTCCCTCTCAGAGCTCTCAGCTACATCCAGGGACACTGATTTCTTCTCTGATAATCTAACTTCTCATATATCCACTGCAGACAAGATACAAGAAATGAACAAGTTTGCAGATGAAATATCACTAGGGGCCACTAACCTGTTCTTCACACAGTTCCTTTTTCTGTCCTCCTTCTTAACAAAGTGCCTCATATTTCTTTATGAAATTAAACTTAAAATGTGACCAGGGAGTCTTTGATCCATAACAAATTCCAGGTTATTACTAAAACATAAGCGCATATTTATAGCCCCTTTCTTTGTGTTTCTAGAAGCTACTGACATCCTACAAGTCTTTCTAATTTAAAGTTAGCAAAGTAGTGAATAACGATGAATGGAATCTACCCAGCAATGAAAATAATGACCAGCCATCAATGTAGGTGGATCTCCGTGATGATTCAGCATTGAGTGAGCCATGGTCAGAGACTACAAGTGGGTGTGTCCTGTTGTTCACAGGGCCACCCTAGGAGGGCAGTGGAAGGCTTGGCTTTTTACCCCTTTCTCCCACTTCCAGGTAAGAAGGTGCACTCTTTGAACACTTGAGGGTTCCCTCATTATTAACAGAGCCCTGAGGGATGGACAGCCCCAAAAAGGGAAGCAAACACATCCAGGCTCCTGTGAATGCACACCAGTGTCTACCACCAGGTGTGATGTTGACCTGACAGCCACTCTCTCTTCAGGAGTCTCCATCTGCGGTTCTCCCACAAGGACAAGACCCCGTGACGGAGGACACTCCACTCATCCTCCATCCCCTGCAATGGCCTTTCACCACATCCAGGCCTCCAGCACCTCCACAATCTTCTGGAAATGGCATCATATCCATGGGAATAGATCTGCATCTCTACCTGATGACATATTCCTAGCCCTTTTCCTAACAAAACTCTGATGCAGGTTATTTGCTGCTGCTGGGAACAAAGATGCCTGTTCTCCACACCTAGTAAGGAGCTCATTGGCCAGATATGATTGTGTGGCAACTCCTGTCTCCATGACCCTCTTCTCCTGCTGGTGGGAGAACCCTGCCAGGCATGTAAGGGTGGGGCAGACAGAGATCCAGAGACCCAGGTGTGCTGCACCCAGGACAAGGCCTCTATAGCAGGAGTGGGGTCAATTGGACAGAATGTGTCCTGTCTTCTGGTGGCTGCTGCATGCATCTCAACCACAGCACCCAGCAGCTTGGAGCTGACTGAAAGACATGGACATCTTCTCTTCTAGAAAGGGAACTTGTAACCAGCAGCTGGCAGCATGGAGTCTGTGCTTTTGAACACATTTGTCTTGAATGCATTTTCTGCACTAGGAGAGGGAAAGGAGGGTGTGTGCCTTCACTTTGGTTGTCTAGCTGTGCCCACTGTTAGCATCTTTTCTGGAGTAAATTCTTCATCACTGTCCTTGTTCCAATAAGACTATCTCCAGTCACAGTGGGACTTTAAAAACAATCTCTGCCTTCTGACTAGGGTTGAAGTCTTTGTAGCTCCTCATGCCCCCATTGTTGGAGGTGAAGCCCTGTTGGCCCTGTTTTTGTTGTTGTGAGAACTTCACATGAAAGCTCCCGTTGGAATAAACCAAAAGCACAAGTTGCTAGATAACCCCAGATGTAGCAATGAGGAGCAGGCATCCAGAGCCTAATCATCCTGCATAACAGGATCCTTCTTCCCTGGAAGACAACTCCCTGCGCCCCTCCCACCTGCTCCTGTAAACCACCATGCTGTCCTCTGTTGCTCTGTCTGGACTGCCTGGGAGTTTCAATATAAAGAGACCATTAGTGTTTGCTCGGCTGTGCCAGCGTCACTACATTCTCTTCGATGTCCTAAAGGTTGATCCGTGTAGTTGCTTAAAACAGGATTTCCTTATAATTATTGTAATGCTACTGTAACAATAAAATACTGAAGTGAGTGGCATCCAGTGTTTATCTGAGATGAGAAAGAACAGCTGTTTGGGATGCAAGGATTCCAGTAGGAGCCCCAATACTGTTCTGACTGGAGTTAAGGCAAGGGGAGTTTTTGATCAAGGAAGGGATTCAGGTATAGGGCTAGAGGGGAGGAACTCCTATCATTGCCAACACAGTGAGTGAGCCTTTAGCTGCACATGATACTGTGAATTCCAACAGTTGTCTGCAAATTTAAGCGCCATAGTCAGGATACCTCTTTCCTGTTGTGCAACAGTTGTGTGAAATGCAGTGTTGGGAGCCCACTGCAAAGGTGACTCTGCTGAGTCCAAGCCCTGTAGAGGTTGGAGAAAAAAGTTGGGCCAGGTGATTTGTCTGGAATGGCTGCCTGTGCTTCATTTTAAGATGGCATCACTGTTATCATCTTCTCACAGTCAGAACCCTTCACATATAAAGTGTCCATTACAGATCCCTGAGTATGCAAATCAGTGTGGCTCATTACAGATTCATGCTCTACAGAAGACCTGCAATTTGACTCTGCCTCAAGGAAACTACCAGCCAGGCAACACCCACTTCCCAATTGCCTCTTGCCATGCTGCAAACACCACCTTGCTGCTTGTGTCCATGAGCTGCACTGAATCAGAGATCTCACCTCCATGGGGTCACGCAGTGTTAGTCCTCCCTGAGAGCTTAGTGCACATGGTCGAGCATCTTACACTGTCACTCACATTGTCATTTCTGTTGCTTTAAGGCTGAGAAGTAAGTTTGCATTTTGAGTATATAACGCACTTCATGTTTACATCCCCTCATGGGCATTCAAATGTTTCCCATGCCTTGGTCATGGTGCGTAAAGTGGCATTGATGAGGGGTCTCTCTCTTCCAGACCCCAATGCATTCCATTAGAAGAGAACTCTAGATGCTGGGTTCCTGTTTATGTGGGGCTTCTGTTTTCATGATGTGGGGAAATGCCACACTGCTTTCCAAACAGCTGCATCATTTGAGCAGGTGTATGTTCTAACGACAGGCTTAGGTTTAGTTTGCCTTTTGTTTCTTCTCTTTGAGCAAGTTTATTCTGTGGTAAAGACTATGATCCCTTACCAAATATGCAATTTGAATGTATGTTCTCGGTGTGTGTGGCCTGTCTTTAAATACCTTATCAGGGTTGTTATGGTATCAATTACAATGACACATCTGTAAGGCCCTGGTGCATATCATGGTTGTGTCATGTGTGTGTCCATGAAGCACTGATCACAGGGCACCTCAAAAAATTCCCACGTAAGCTCTGAATTGCCTGGGTGGTGTCACCTGGTGCAGGTCACCATGATGGAGGAGCCCATAGGAGACCTAAATATAGTCACAGTCCATGAATAACAGGGGGCTGTCCACTCACAATTATCCCATTGTCCCCAATGAGCACAGCCAAGACACACAGCCACACAGTCATATACAGTACCCATTGGCACACACAGTCACATATGCAGAATCACACAATTCCACACACACTCACATGCTCTCATGAGCACATATACACACAATTGCACACAGTCTCACTTGTATTTTTTTAAAGACACACAACACATGAGCTGTGATATGAAACTGTTCATGTCGTTTCACCCTATTTCCTCTAAAGTTGTCAGTGTGTTTGCCATATGAATGCCCCATCCTTAAAATGCCTAGGGAAGATGGTTCTCCTGCTAGAATCACTAAAACTTGTACTTAATTGAAGACCTTAACTAACATTTATATGTTTACCTCCTACAGTAGCAATAATTATAAATAAAATGATGTGTTTGGAATCGATATCGTAAAAAGAATATGCATGTAGATCTATAACATAAAAATGTACTTATGAGCAATTTTGTACTTTTGCCAAAAGTGTGGGCTGAAAGGTATCCTTCGGTCTTGTCCATAATGTGTTTACCGGTGAAATTTCCTTTAAATTGGTGGCTCAGGAAAACAAAATGTTTCCCCAATTTGGGTGTACACACTCCACTCCACTGAGGAACTGACTAGACAAATAGAGAGGGTGGAGAATTAAGCCATTCCCACCTGTGGGCTGGTTTCTGTGGCTGGGACAGGTGTCTTCCCCTGCCCTGGCCACCCTGGTCTTCAGCCTTCAGATCATGTTGACTTGCGACAACAGCTCTCTGCGTCTATGGCAAGCAACTGCAGCTCATGGAAATTTGAGATGCCTCACTATCCATAAAGTAAGCATCAATTCCTTATAAATATAAGGGTGAATATGCATGTTTTGATTCTCCTTCTCTGGAGGAACATGGACAATTCTATCGTGAAGCACACAGCACACAGGTTTGTCCAAATTTCCTCATCAGAGCCTACACAAGTGTTAACTTGAAACAGGACTGGGAACTTGGCCAACAAAATGGAGGCTCTCAGTAGTTAATGTCATGTTAGACTTTGCAAACTGTTCCTTAACTTTCCCTGTGCCATAGGCATGTGAGGCCCATTGACAGTACTGGATACAAGAGAAGACTCAAAGGAGATTGATGAAGACAGAATAAAGAAAATCACATGGCACGAGAGCTCATTGAGGCAACTTCATCAGACTAAGCTGAGGACAGGCCCCGATACACTGGTCCTCAGTGTTTTGTCTTACAAAAGATTTTTATCCATTCACCTTCGAGCATATCCCATTGTCATTTACCTTCATGTGGGAATATTCTTAATGTGCATTTACTGAAATGATACAGACATATTTGATTCATCAGATTATGGTGAACATTTGCTCAGAAAGGGTTTTTTTTGCTTGATGCAGGTCCCAAAGGTGATAATACACTATAATAAAAAAAAGATGAACATGGAAGATAAATATGCACTAGTGGAAAAGAGGTGGTGGCAACA